CACACCGAAAAAAGTTAGCCTGAATCAAAATAAATCAAAACTAAAAAACGAGAAGGAAAAAGTTAACAATAAAAAATCGATCCCAAAAGGAAAAAAAGGAAGAAAGAGGAAGATAAGCTCATCTAGCAGTTCTGATAGTGATGAAATTCAATTGGTAGACACGGATGACGACATGGACCAAGATGATGTCGATGTGGAATGCTTTTATTGTTCCAACTGGTTTTCTGAAGATATTTCTGGATCCAAGTGGGTCCAATGCATGAAGTGTCTGCGTTGGTGTCACGAAGATTGCTCAGATATAGGCAAGGAGAAATCATTTATTTGTGAATTATGTTTAGATGGATAAATACTTGTTTCTTTTGAACTTTATTCTCTGGTTATTGAGAAATAGTTATTTTATTTTTTGTATTCTCCTGTGTCTTACTGTAAAATAAAATATCTTAGATATCTAATATTGCTACTTTGCATTTTTTAAAGAAGTTGTAGCCTAATATCGGGCACCCGATATTTGGAATCGACACTACCCGATATTAGGCAACCTTTTTTTAATTTAAGGAAATGACACCATTTACGAATTTTCTGAATAACAGCAACTGTGTTTACTTAATTTTAATTATCTCTTGTAAAACCAAACTAGGAACAATAAGCAATAAATGTGTCAACCAATTAACTTTTGGGAATGAATAGAAAAGTTTTACTGAACATTTTTAAAAAGGTACCCGATAATAGGCGTCCTTCCTCTATATAATTTTGATAACATTGTTAGGGACGTCCATTTGTTGTAGCTTATAAATAAGTGAACCATAAGTAATAGCATCAAAGGCTTTTTAGAGGTCGATAAATGGGCAAGACATTGACTACTGCGCCCTAACGCTGAATACATCAAGTATATCCGCTTCTATTTAGGTGTATAATGGTTGTTTTCAGTAACTTGAGTTATTTGCTTATTTTTCGGTCTATGATAAATAGGACAATGTTAGAAACAGGCGTTTTCTGCCTTTCTGGGAAACAACCCAGTAAAAACCATTGCTTATGGTTAGAAAATACTCATTGGAAACCTGGAAAATGCGGGCAGATGTAGTGCGTCATTCCAAAAGTACACCAACCACCCCCTGTATAATAATAAAGTCTTTAATCAATTCTGCAAAGAAATTTTGATAGTTAATAAATAATTTTAGGATTACTTATATTTACCAAAGTCAATAAATAAACAAAATATAATATACGCATACCCGACTTGTAGGATAAGCTGCCATTTTATCTGCGAATTTTCTTTTTCTTATGGCTAATTTGATATTGTGTGTAATTAACGAGACTCTACTTGTCTGAATTTTTATAGTTCTTATCAGGAAGTCACGAATTTTATCAACGTTATGTGGACAGGAAGAAAGCTTCCTTGATATTCACTTGTTATTAAGCGTATTTATTGGTATTCACCACAGTATATCTAGTATTATCACTGCAATTTTATAAAACCTCAATATGAGATACTTGGAGTACTTAATCATGGAATAAGAAGACATGAAAATGCAATTATGTTATCGATCTAAGTAAAGAATGTACGAGGGATGTCTTTTAAGTTTTGCATATGGAAATAAAACAACACGGTAGGTAGTTTTAAATGACTTTATTGTCTTTCGAAGTATTCTCCACGAAGATTAATACACATCTGCATGCGCTCGAACCAATTTTCGAAGCACTTATTCCACTCGTTTGCTGGCAGGTCCAAAACGGCATTTTTGAATGCGTCAACTGCTTCTTCTGGTGACTGGAACCTTTGACCACGCAGTCTGTTTTTAATTTTCGGGAAAGAAAAGAAATCGTTGGGACTTAGATCGGAACTATATGGAGGATGGTCTAATAATTCTTTTGGCAAACAAATGGTGGTATACCAATCCGCAGTAACAATTCTTTGCTCATTAAGAGGAATTGTTGCAATATGACCCGCTTTTGACACTTCGAGAACGGATGACTATCGTTGGCTTTTCTTCAGCTTGGAACACCCAAACAGCCGACTGTCATTTATTTTCTGGTTCATAACATTAAATCCACGATTCATCACGACTAACAATGCTGTACACATTTTTTGAGTTTCCGGAATTGAAACGGCGTTTTTTGACACCAATTAACCCTGGCTGCTTTCTACTCTTCAGTCAACAGGTGGGGTATCCAACGAGAAACTAATTTTCTTACTCCTAATTCTTCATGTAAAGTTGTTTGAATTGAGGTCTTTGAGATCTTCAAGGACGCCTCAATCTCGCGATATGTTACATGTCTATCTTCAATGATGAGTTTGCGTACAGCATCGACGTTTTCCTGGGTGACTGTCGTTTTTTTTGCACCCAACCTGGGATCGTCGCTAAGACTCACCCGTCCACGTTTGAAATCTCCATACCAACAGTAACTCAGCAAGGCATTCTTGTTTGCGATAATTGTCTCTGAAGGTTGTAATAAATTATGGCGCGAAAATGTTCTCGGTTGAGTTCCGTTTTTCTAATGACTCGGTGACACTTGAAAATTCACTGTAGTGAGAACACTGCACGTATCGTTGTGAAACTTTGAATTTAAGTTTACTAAAGAGTGAGGTTAAGATTCAGTACTGACGTTCGATTCGCGCGGCCTACTAAGTTTCTATATGCAAAACTTAAAAGACCTCCCTCGTATGTCCTAGGTTCTTTTTGAACGGTTCTACCTAGCGCCGTGTAGAACTGGGCAAAGCCGTACCCTTTGGTAATACGATTCCAGGGTTTCGATTGGATTTGGAGTCAATTCCTTCGATTCGTTCATCAATGTGATTCCGACCCCGGAATCGATTTCGATTCCGACTTTGGAATCGATATGTTCGATTCGTTCACGATTCTGATATCGGAATCGTTTCCTTCGATCCGTTCACGGTTCTGATTGCGACTTCGGAATAAATTCCCTTGATTCGTTCACGATTCCGATTCCGACCTCGAAATCAATTCGTTCACGATTCCAGTTCCGAATCGATTCGTTTATAATTCAGATCTCGAGATAGTTGCCTTCGACCCGTTCTCGGTTCCGATTCCGACTCCGGAATCGAATCCTTCGATCTGTTAATGATTCCACCTCGAATTCGAATCATTCGATCCGCTCACGATTTCGGAATCGCTTCCTTCGATCCGTTTACGATTTCAATTCCAACCTTGGAATCGATTCGTTCACGATTCCGACATCGGAATCATTTCCTTTGATCGGTTCACGGTTCTGATTCCGACTTCGGACTCGATCCGTTCTCGATTCCGATTCCGACCTCGAAATCAACTCATTCTATTCGTTCACGATTCCGATTCCTACCTCGGAATCGATTCGTTCACAATTCCTACATCGGAATCGATTCGTTTATAATTCCGATCGCGGTATAGTTTCCTTCATTATTCCTGTTCATGATTCCCCCTCTAACTCGAATCATTCAATCCTTTCACGATTTAGGAATCGATTCCTTCGATCCGTTCACGATTTCAATTCCAACATCGGAATCATTGCCTTTGGTCGGTTCACGGTTCTGATTCCGACCTTGGAATCGATTCCCTCGATCCGTTTACGATTCCGAATTCTGACCTCGGAATCAACTCCTTCTATTCGTTCACGATTCCGATTCCGACCTCGGAATCGATTCGTTCACAATTCCGATCAAGAACTCATTTCATTCGATTCGTTTAAGATTCCAATTCCGACTTTGGAATCGATTCGTTTGTAATTTCGATCTCGGGATAGTTTCCTTCGATTCGTTCTCGGTTCCGATTCCGACTCCGGAATCGAATCCTTCAATCTGTTCATGATTCCCCCTCGAATTCGAATCATTCAATCCGTTCACGATTTAGGAATTGTTTCCTTCGATCCGTTCACGATTTAAATTCCAACATTGGAATCGGTTCGTTCACGATTCCGATTCCAACATCGGAATCATTGCCTTTGATCGGTTCACGGTTCTGATTCCAACCTCGGAATCGATTCCCTCGATTCGTTTACGATTCCGAATTCCGACCTCGGAATCAACTCCTTCTATTCGTTCACGTTTCCGATTCCGACCTCGGAATCGATTCTTTCACAATTCCCATCTCGAAATCGTTTCGTTCGATCCGTTCACTATTCCAATTCCGACTTTGGAATCGATTCGTTTATAATTCCGATCTCGGGATAGTTTCCTTCGATTCGTTCTCGGTTCCGATTCCGACTCCGGAATCGAATCCTTCGATCTGTTTATGATTCCCCCTCGAATTCGAATCGTTCAATCCGTTCACGATTTAGGAATCGTTTCCTTCGATCCGTTCACGATTTCAATTCCAACATTGGAATCGATTCGTTCACGATTCCGATTCCAACATCAGAATCATTGCCTTTGATCGGTTCACGGTTCTGATTCCGACCTTGGAATCGATTCCCTCGATTCCTTTACGATTCCGAATTCCGACCTCGGAATCAACTCCTTCTATTCGTTCACGATTCCGATTCCGACCTCGGAATCGATTCGTTCACAATTCCGATCTAGAAATCATTTCGTTCGATCCGTTTACGATTCCAATTCCGACTTTGGAATCGATTCGTTTGTAATTTCGATCTCGGGATAGTTTCCTTCGATCCGTTCTCGGTTCCGACTCCGGAATCGAATCCTTCGATCTGTTCATGATTCCACCTCGAATTCGAATCATTCGATTCGTTCACGATTTTGGAGTCGTTTCCTTCGATCTGTTCACTATTTCAATTCCAACCTTGGAATCGATTCGTTCACGATTCATATTCCGACATCGGAATCATTTCCTTCGATCGGTTCACGATTCTGATTCCGACCTCGGAATCGATTCCTTCGATCCGTTCACGATTCCGACCTCCGAATCGATTCCCTCCATCCCAAAGTATTTACTCGATTTGCTTGAGTTGTAGACTTATTGGCAATATGTTGTATGAAATACTGGAAGATGTCAGTTTCAGATTGTAAAGGTGACATGTAAATGACATCTGTTATGTTTTGGTTCCAGGTAAAGGGATGACCGAATTGGGCATAGTTCGGGGTAGTCCCGACTCAGACTGCAACAGCAACCATCATGGATCCGCCAGCTACTTGAGCAACACTTCTTCACAAGATGTCGACTTTATCCAAGATAACTCCGACTATCAGTGGTTCCTCGATTACGGGTAAGTTTATTTTTGATTTCATTGCGGCCCGATTTCATCAAAATGTCCAATCTATATTTCTTTCAAGTTTCACTTACGACGCGTCAAAACAAACACGCAACGAGCGAATACCACCGGCGATCTCAGTAGAATCCGTGTGGCGTCCCCCCTTTCTCCTGTATCCCCCTATAGCCCCACGGTACCCCATGGGTGTTTGAGCCTCAAGCCTTCGTGGTAATTGGAGCATAAAAAATAAATTCACAAATATCATGTTTTGGGGCGTTGGGCCAACTTCACTGAGACAGGGCTCGTATATCTTTGCGTAGCCTAAAAACCCTTGGTCCTTATATACATATTTTAATACGTAGAAATGTACCTGGTCAGACTACTTGAGATCAATCGTATGGAAGTACTGAGAATATAGCTAAAATTGTATCCATTTCAGTAAACAAGTAATACAATTTTGTGCGTGGTAGAAGTATTATCAGTATCATGATTCACACACTGTTAATCAAATTTCCCATAATGTTGTATGGGAATTTGTGATACATTCATCAGTTGATACATACAATATGAGCGAAGCTGGAAAACTGAGGAGAATTGATGAAATTGAAAAATGGAAATTTCATAGACGGTAAGTGCCAAATAAGCAATATTCTAACGGGTTTTCATCATTTGAGCTGTCCTCAATAATGCTTCTATACTCCAAAGCTGCTAAACGGATCCTGGTACTGATACCAGGATTTTGTTCCACGACACGTAAAACTGCCTCGTCAAACTCAGGCGTTTACACGGACCTCGACCGGCCTCTATCATTGGTGGGCATGGAAAAACTTCCTAAACAGCATTATTGTCAAAAACATCACGAAAAAGAAATAAGAAAATTTACCTCTTTCCCGTAATCTACGGTCTACGCTTTCAAAGGTTTTACTATCTGGAAGTTGCCGATGGGAAACGCTTCTGCATACAGGCGCCTCGCTGCATAATATACTAAGTGACATATAAATCCGAACACCCAGTTTAAATGGTTTTATTTTAATAAGATTTTGTATAAGTACTTAATGAAGTAAATGATAAAAATTTCAAAATGATTGCACTGCTTTAAAGCCCTTTGACCTTTAATAATGTGTGGATGTACCCTGATGTGCTACGCATTCTCCAACGCGCCTAGGCATGCTTCTGATCAGGTGGTCAATGTCCTCCTGTGGTATCTCATTCCAGGCAACCACCAACTCCTCTCGAAGTGCTTCTAGACTTCTGAGAAGGACGTTGCAAATTGAGCAATCTCCTACCCATCATATCCCACACGTGCTCAATTGGGGATAAGTCGGGAGATCTTGGTGGCCATGGTAACAATGTGACATCATTATGTTGAAAGAAGTCTATTGTGACTCTTGCAACATGTGGGTAAAAGATAGGGTAAAAGATGGGGTTCTAGAACTTCGTGGATATAACGCTGCGCGTTCATGTTACCTCTGATGAAGATTAAAGGTGACCTGGAACCATAAGCTATAGCACCCCAAACCATAACTCCAACAGTGTGATGAACATGTCTTTCAACAAAAAACTGTGGATTCCTACTTTCACCACGTCGCCTTCTAACCCTGGCACGACCATCGTGCATGCCTAAACAAAATCGAGACTCGTCACTAAAGACAATACTGTTCCATTCCTGATTCCAGAGTGACCGTTGTCTGCACCACTCAAGGCGATTGAAGTGAGCAAACTGAAGTGGCTCGTAGAGATGGCCATCTTCCCTTCAAAAAGATAGGGCCATCTCTCCTTATTGTATAGGATAGATGGCCACCGTGTTTACTAAAATCCACGCGACCGGTGGATAAAAATGTGAGGTTAGGTTACATTCAGAAAGTCTAGCGAGAACGTTTATGCAAGTAAAAATGCGATATACACGGTATTTCCGTCAGAATTACAGTTTAGTTAACATAACACATAAGTTTGGCATAATGCTTATTTTATATTATGCTTTGACTTACGTTTTTATCTTGTTTTTGCCCACAATGCCCCCACAACCGACCCATACGATGCAGCTGACTACAGTAATGTACAATGTGCGCCTCCTGTCAGAAAGCCAGCGAAATCAAGAGACTGGGCCGTCTATCCTCTATGGCCATCTTTCCTCGACTTACCCTAAATATACTAACATCAAAAAATTGAGATATACCTCCCCCGAGCCCCCAGCCCCTATTTTTTACCATTCAATTTTTTTTCAATAATGATCGTGATTCTCTGAAAGGACAAAAAACGTTTGAGCGATATTTATTTTGTTCGTTTTTGTCCTTTTTCTCCTCTTCATACAGTTTTTATACCTCGGTATAAGACTGATAATATCATTCTAAATTTCGATATTGTCCTTGTTTTCTGCTACAATGAGTATGAAATCGATACGGAACTACAGTTCAATTGAAATTTCTCAGTATTTAAATCCAACGACAACACGCTTACGCGATATCTGATGTCGAAAACTTTCGCCAACAGTCGATCACTGAAATACAAAATGATTATGCAAAATAGTTGCGCGTAGTGTTCAATATTACCATTCATTATTCATGAACAAATAACACTGGACAACAAATTTTAGCTTTTTAATTGTATCTTGTGGGAAAAGTGCACTTCTTTGTTGATTTTGGGGCGCTGAATCCAAAAATGACAATGAAATAAAAAAATTAGTTGCGGTTTAGGAAAAAAACTTTTTACTTTTAAGGATATATTAAAAAAATTAACAAGATTCATATACTTATAAGAATCACTATATGGGCTGTCTTTTTGCTGTTCTTTTATGGATCGTTTCTGGAGCATCTCTACCAAGAGTCCAACAGTAGTCTGCAAGCATGGAAGGATTCCACTTTCCCTGGTACCTTTTTTCCATTGTTGAAATATCCTGATGAAAACGTTCGCCGTGCTCATCACTTACGGCTCCGCAATTGTCAGGAAAAAAGTCCAGGTGTGAGTGTAGGAAATGTATCTTAAGAGACATATTACAGCCCATCTTTTGATACGATGACAAGGGTTTTATAATTGTCAGCTTTTCTATTTCCCAAGAAATTAGTGACCACCAGACGGAAATCATTCCAAGCAGCTTTTTCAATACCTGTTAAAGTGTTTTCAAACTGTGTATCTTTCAAAATATTTCGAATCTGTGGCCCAACAAAAATACCTTCTTTAATCTTTGCCTCACTTAGTCTTGGAAATTTCTGACGCAGGTAGTAACTTGAAAAGCTGACCCATCTCTATCTAATGCCTTGAAAAAGTTTTTCATTAGGCCCAACTTGATATGCAGTGGTGGTAATAAAATTTTTTTCGAATCTACTAATGGCATATGCTGTACATTTTTTTGACCTGGCTCTAGGAATTGACGAACAGGCCAGTTTTGTCTGGTGTAATGAAGTGCCTTTGCCCGACTGTCCCATTCACACAATCGCCACAAATATGCCATTGGTGCTCATCGTATTTTATACATGTCAATAAGTACTTCATATTGTCATATGATTCTTTCATGTGAACTGCATACCCTACAGGAAGAGATGGTAAAATATTTCCAATATGCAATAACACTGCCTTTAAACTCAATGTTGAACTGTCTATAAACAATCTCCATTCTTCTGGGTTATAGTTTATATTTAAAGCTGCCAGTAAGCCGTTAATGTTACTGCAGAAAACCAAGTTATTCTCCATATTGAAAAATGGTTCTAAGTCTTTGTGGCGTTTACGAAAAACACATACCGAAACATCGTCTTCTAACAAGTTCCACTGCTGCAGTCTTGATCCAAGTAACTCTGCCTTACATTTTGGAAGTTCTAAATCTCTTACAAGATCATTTAATTCTGACTGTGTTATTTTGTGCGGTTGGTGGCATCACGTGCTCGGTATAAAATCAGGATCTCTTGAAGTTGATGGCATATCTTCTTCCTGACGAATAACTCGATCGCCATGATCTGATTCGTTTTCTGATTCGCAAGTGTAGGATTCTGGGGGTTTTGGAATAGGATTTTCGTCACTGTCAGGCACAGGTCTCGTCGCAGATGGTATGTTTGGGTAGTTAATAACCGATTTTTTTTCTTGGACATACCTGTGGCTTGTCCAACACAAGGTACCATGCAAAAGTAACAATCATTAATATGATTTGTAAGCTCTCTCCAAACCATTGGGACAGCAAAGCGCATAGACCGTTTTTTGCCATTTAACCAGCTCCTCAGACTTGAAGCACATGTATTACAGCAGATGTGGGGTGCCCACTGTTTGTCTTGATCACCTAGTTTACAACCGAAATAAAGCTGATATGCCTTTGTTATTAGTGGAGTAATAGACCGTCTCTGAGACGCAAAAGTCACATCACCACACACGTAACAAAACTGATCTGGATTGTTTACACACTTTCGAGACATCTTGCATGAACGCTGTCAGCCAACTGAGGAAAAAATGGCTAATATAAAACAATATAATGTACACGTATGTATAACGTAACACAATCATGCCGATTACATCATCTTTCCTTGCCGAATATAAAAATGTAGCACTTGCGTTCTTGTGAATTACAGTATATTAACACTGTCACAGCAGGAACACACATAATTACCGTATCTCTAAAACTTGAACTAATATTGAAAAAATAAGTTTCATTCCGGTTTTAGCACATTAAAAATAGTGATATTTTGTTGATTTTATTTAGGATATTTTTTGGCTGTTGATCAGTGTAATTATTATAATAAAAATAAATCGGACGATTTGGTCAGGGGTACAAAACAAAATGGGAAGGTTGCTCTTCTTGTGTTGTTTTCAGTCACACAACCAATCATGATCTGAATATGAAGGTCATGAGTGTGGAAAAACGAAAAATTCATGTAAATTTGAGATACTTCTTCCTTTTGTTACTGTGCGTCAGAGCGCTCCGTAGGACCTTTGTTCTTGGTCAATAGGTCTGTCAAGTCTGGTTGCCCAGATACCAAACAAATTTATGGAGAAAGAAGGAAGAATTTCAAATTGATCTAAAAATCAATTTAGGA